CAAATTTAGAATTTCTCTCATCAACGATTATAATTTGCGCGCGATTTACTTTCACTCGCACGCATGGCATATATGTGTGTGCGTGTGCATACATGTGCATATATGCGTGTGTGTGTGTGTATTTTTTTGCAGATTTCTCTACGTGACAATAATGGTATTTTTTTCCTGCATCCTTAAGATTTTTTTCCTCAAGAGTCATGGTCACGTATATATATATTTTTTTCCCCAGAGTCATGGTCACGTATATATTCTTTTTTTCTTCATTTCGTTCATCCGTATTTCTCCCCATCTTTGCAGTTTAAACCTCACTGCATGAACATTTTATGACGATATCCTATTGCATGTTGTGTGATCAGCTGATTTTTGCTACATTGTGATTTTTTTTCGTCTTTTGATGATTATTACTGAACACAAGAGAAAAAAAAAGAAGCTTAAACATGACCTGCTTTTATCCCGGTTTTGTTTGGTTGCGGTGGCTGGCATGCTGTTGATATTGGCAAGAAGAGAATGCAATAGTTTTGAAAACAGTGTATATAGGCCTACAATGAGATATATTTTTTTTCACATGTGGAAAATAATAGCTTTACATCTGTTTTGTGTGATTATTCATCTTTAAAACAGCAATACATTCGCAACAGTACGATTATATATATTTTTTTCATTCTTTAAAAAAAATCCTGCCTGTATACCCAAACCATTAAACAAAAAGATATATATATAAATCAAACAAGTACCCCCCTCAATCCCCACAAAAACAGATTTCCCATTTTCTCTGAACGCACTAACCCCATCCCCCGTTTTCTACAGGGTTGCTACGGTAGACTGAAGAATTGGGTAGAAGATCACGCCAACTTGCTCATGGGGATCGGCATCGGTGTGGCCGCCTTGGAGCTGCTGGGGATGCTGTTTGCCTTCTGCCTCTGCTGTTCCCTCGGCCAGAAGATCAAGTGACGCCAGCGCCGCGTCCACACCGGCCACGAAGAACAATATACAGTCAAACAGCTTGACATGGACTAAACATATAGTGAAAGAAAAGTCTCGATATATATAGTTATATATATATGCGTATGTGTGTGTGTGTATGTATAGTCTGTACGTGGGAAAGAAACAATTTTTTTTTTCTTTTTCTTTTTTTTTTTTTTTTTGGTATGGGGGGAGGGGGGGAGTGATGAACAAGTGAAGTGGCTGAGTGCTATGGTCGTTTTCACACACTTTTTTATATTTTTTCTTTGACAAAAAGGTAAGCTCCCTTTGAATCGGATTATCATCACCATAGCTTTGTTATCCGTATAAAAGACGACGTATTGTCATTTCTGATTATCTTAAAGGATTAAAAATAGAGCCCTTTTTAGTGATTCAAACACAAGGCGGAAAAGATTTACATAGTAGACCTATAGAAAAAATAATGTTACGTACTTTGACAGACAATAATAAGTACGAGAAAGACAAGCTCGTAGGTTTTTTATCGATATCATATAAAAGAAACAAAGAAAAAAAATCTGACGAAGTGATACATTCAGCTTCTCAAAAAAAGTTATTGAGCTCTCGGTAAACTCCCTTTTTGTAAGCCTGTTTCCCTCAATTCTTTCTCTTCCTCTGTATGTCGAAGTGTCACTTGAATTTTATGCGAACGATTCTTTCTCCATAGGCTTGCTGTGTTACGTGTGTTGGTCTTAACTCCTGCATTGCATTATCTCTGGGCTGTACAAATGCTTACGTTTCATTCATGCTTTAGAAATATTCTCGTTCTTCCGTTTGGTATCTCTCTTCTCTCTCTCTCTCTCTCTCTCTCTCTCTCTCTCTCTCTCTCTCTCTCTCTCTCTCTCTCTCTCTCTCTCTCTCTCTCTCTCTCTCTCTTTTAAAATTCTTTTGCCGGTCAGTCCTCTTGTGTTTACAGATGCGGAGGGGGCGAGTGTAAAGCATTTCTCACCCCTTCGCTTGTTCTTATTCTTCCAATCGTGTGTTCTTTCGTGTTTCGTTCGTACAAGCTGTTTGTCTCTACATTGAGTCCTCATATCCCCCCCCCCTCTCTTCCCACCTCCTCAAACCTCGTTTCTCTCCCTCTCTCTATATCCCACCAAACTCCCCACCAGTCCCTCCGTTTTTTTCCCCTCGTTTTCTCCCTTTACCAAACCTTCCTCTGGCCTTGCTGTTGCTTCTCATTACCTTCCCTTCTCCACATTGCCTCCCCACTCCCCACAGCCTTTCCCACTCCCAACTGCCTTCCCCGCTCCCCATTGCCTTCCCGCTCAACCACAGCCTTTCCTTCTCCCTACATCCTCTCCCCTTCCCCACAGCCTTTCCCTCTCCCCCATGCCTTCCCCACTCTCCACTACTTCCCCACTCCCACTGCCTTCCCCCTCCCTTCCCCTACCCTTATTAAATTGATGTATAGTATATTGTTCCTTCCCCGTTCACGTGAGGCGGGAGAGAACCGTGATGAATGAATTTTCTATGCTGTCTCCGGCAGGTACAACCCAGTCTGCTGTAGCTTAATCTGTAGATGTATAAAGAGATGAAAATCTTTTTAAAAAGCTGTAGAAGACGTTAAGAAAAAAGAGATGGAAAATCTATAAAAAAAACTTTATATTCTGAGTCCCTTGAACTATTTTTTTTTCTTTTTCTTTCTTTCTCCAGCCCTCTTAAATAATCCATTGTGAATAGAGTCCCCTGTTGTTTCCCCTAATTATGCGAGGATATTGTTTGTTATGTTTCTTGACTGCAGCGAAATTCACGTAATTCCAGAGATTTTTTCACAAATTTATGCCAAACCGATTTTTAAAGATACCTGTATTCTGAAATGTTCGGTGAAAAATCCTGTGATAATTAGGGTATTTAATATAGCATGCAGTGTGTCTGTGCCTAATGGTGATATATATATGTATATATATATATATATATATATATATATATATATATATATATATATATATATATATATATATATATATATATATATATATCAAGCCACACTGACATTCATATAGTCCTGAAACCCTAAGATGTTGGCTGCATTTACGATACTCTTGACTGAACTCTCATAGCAAGCTACCTCTTGTAATATATTTGTCAAGTTCTTTTTCATCATCTGTTCTGTATGTTATTATCGAGTTTTAACATATCCTCTGTGTGTTGACGACTGTGACCAATTAGGCAGTCAAGAGTCTAGTATTTTAAAAGGTACAGAGATTAATAATAACGTTGTTGTTTCGTTTTCTTTCCGGAAAATGATGTTTTTTTTTTGCCATTCCTCTTGAGGTTGATGGCAATAAGAGGAAAACAATTTTTCAATATGCATGTTTCAGTAAAGGAGACTACTGTAATTTATATTCTAATCTGTTTAAACTTTTTTTTTTTTTTGGTTCGATTTTTTTTCTTGATTAAAGATATTTGTAATATTGGAATTTCTGATGTAAAGGTATAGTAGAATAAGATGAATTTGTTTATTTCAGTTGATATGATTTATATAGAAATAATAGGTTTTCTATATGTGATAAAATCCTGTAGTATAGCATGGAAAGGTCTTTAGTAGATTAACAGTAATTTATATATTATTAAATTTTATTAAAAGCCAGTTTAACAAATACGTGTGATGTAAAACCTCACACAGTGATTGAAATAAATCTTTAATGGTATTATATATTAGATGGAATTTCTTTATATCAGATTTGGTAACTAATGACATTACCAAATAATGATAAACTATTTTTACTTTGTGTGGTTTAGGTTTACACCATTTCCTATAAAATGTGTAGAATGAAATTGATAACAATAAGCATACACAGTATATAAGCATTTACTATTTACAGTACAAAAGTGCTTTTGGCCAAACGTAAAAAAAACAAGTAATTGGTCTTTTTTGTATTTTTTGCCCCCTGCCTGAAATTTAATAAATCTGTTAATCTTTGTAAATACTATTACATTGCATTGCCCTACAGTCTAAGAAAGAATTGTGATGTATTGCACTGTAATGCTCATTCTTCCATTCCTTGTACATGAGGTAATGAAAACTACATTTTTTGGAATAGACATAAAAAATATATATATAAATGAAGGCGTGAAACTACATTTTTTGGGGAATCGACTAAAAGATAGACGACGGGCGTGTGAGGATGAAACCCACAGACAACCACAAACACTCGGAAAAAAGTAGTTTGATGAGTGATTTCGTTTGTATCGAGTAGTGTTTCTATATTCTGAATACCCAGTGTAAACAACGCCACCGTGTGTAATACGACAAGATGCATGTCTTTTTTTTTCTTTCATGTAATCACAGGATCTACTCTTTCTTCAATGGGTATTTTAACCCCGTGGAGAAATCATTCGAGTCCAGGTACATGTGAAACCGTTCAACTCAAATTGTTCAATGAGATTGTTCAACTCAAATTGTTAATTGATGTTTTGGTTTTAAATAATGTGGTCTGTGGCGATCAGGCATCCGGTTCTGAACTGGATTTCGATCATATATGTTCTGGTTATTGTCAACGTGGCGTTATTTTAAACCTTTATCATTGTATGGGTTATGAGAACAGGTGAATGTGTTGGACAGTGATCTAACTGTTGAAGCTATTGTCATATTCTTTGATAACACTTGCTTTAAAGTTGGTTAAATGTACTAGTGTATTCAGATATCTTTGATAATAAAATACTGTTAATAAATGTGAATTTCTTTAATTTATTTCCCTTTTTATTTCTACGGTTTATTAGGTCGTATATGACACTACAGATTACCAGAGGATTAAAAAATAATGCTAGATTAATTTATGATAGTGTTTTGTGTGCTAGATGCTTTTTTACGAACTGTAATCACAATTATGATATTGTAACAATATTTTGATATCATGAACTACCACAATATACTGTAGGTATCTGCTTTACATGACTCAATTACATATATCACCTAAATACAGGTGATATATGTAATACAGCTAACCTGTAGAGCGCCCGGACAGCCCCTCTCAGTCGACTCGGCTGCTTCAGGCTGGGGTCAAAGTCGAGGCGGAAAGGAACTGAAGACCTCATCGCATTATCTCACGAGTTAGTACTCATTTTCTTTTAAAACGCATGTCTTATCTCCATTTGGATATAAGACCAATTTTGGGTCTGACAATATGGTTGACGAATAAAATGGAAATACAGACTAAAATGAAGGGTGATAATCTGTCCTAGAAAATGTGCATTACTAAAACAGCAATTGTTTTATGCAGAGACACTATGGTCCTTTCCTCGAACTTGGTGCAAAAAACATTTTTTTTGGGGCACTAACTCTTGGATGGATGCCGCTAATGACCTTAGCTGTTGACGCGGCAGATAATTTTAAGTAATCAATCTTGAATGGATATTGCATTGGATTCATATTTGGTATCAATGATTGCTGTAATAAAAGTGGCACTTTTTCGACTTGTCAGCAACTGTAAAAATTGACAAACTGACAGTTGGAATTTCTCATTTCTATTGATAAAATTATTTTACCAGTCTCGGTTTGACTGTCCTTATCTCTTTCATTAGATTTTCTTTTTCCTCACAATCACCATCATTCAAATAATTCACTATCGTTTGATATCAGGGACTTATCAATAATGTTAATATCAATAATACTTCAGCATATTCAAATAATTGACCAGATATTTACCTAGGAGTATGAGTAACGTATAGATTTTATCTGAATTAATACATTTTGAAAAGCATACTAAATTACTGTATTATCATTATCATCATTATTATTTTACATTAAGGGATCGTATTCTTTTTTTACTTTTTTTTTTTAATATGCTATATAAAACAACCAACATGCCTCTCTGAATAGCTGCCAACCTGACACTCGTGAACCGCCAAACACGAGCAAATGCAACTAGCAACTGTTAACTTTTTCCAAGGAAGGGCATCATACTCAGGCCTCGATCCCTGATCCTGTAACGTACAGAAGTTTGAGACGATAATGCTACGAAAAACTGCAAATAATAAAAGCGTAATGGGTTTATACGTCAAGTTTTAGACATTCACGGTCAAGCTCAGGAGGTGAGGAAAACGAATGAGAGGTATTAAAGAAAAGAAAAAAAGAAAAGAAAAATAGAGAAAAGAGGAAGAAGGAGAGAAGCAGGTATTTATGATGCAGAAGAGATAAAGAAGTAGAGAAGGAAGGTAGACTAATAAAATTGTGAAGACAGGAAAAAAGGGAAAAAAATGAGAAGAGAAGAGGCTAAAGGAGAATTCAAGAACAAAACACAAGAGTAAGAAGAATGAAATGAAGAAGCAATTGGCGTAATTAAGGAAAAAAATATATTGCAAAAAATGGTCACACCAAAATCACTGACCATATCAAACTAACACTAAATAAACTTAACCCATTGCCGCCGGGGATGGCATGTACGTACATGCCATGCCCACTGCGAGTCGACTTGTTCGATTGTTTTTACACATAGATGGCTACACTTGTACTAAGTATCCAATGAGCCAATTACGAGTACTGCCTGTCTCGCCCGTTCACCCTTTTCATCGATTTACGAAAATATTTAACGTTATCCTAATTTGTTGTTAAGAACACTTATTCAGTTAAAAACGATCTAAGAAAAAAATGATCTGGTACAGCACTTAGTATTATCATTATGATTACCGTTATTATTTCAGTTTTCATTACCACTAGTTTCAGTTGTGTGATTATCATCATCATTGTCGTATTCCCAATTTTATTGAAACATTTCGATAATCTTCTAACTTTTTTCTTTTCTTTTTTCCACAATCATTATTATCATATCCAAATCA